TACTTGATTTAGTTCTCGAAAATATAATTTAATATTTAGGACATTGATCTTGAAACTTTATCTTTAAACAGAATTTATTTCTTAGCATAACATACATGCATTACATGTCTCTTAATTGTGCGCAACCTGATATAGTTTTAATTTTTATGATTTTACATTTTTGCAAGTGTGAATGTTTCTTGGATTTATATTGTTTATTTTTTCTGTGTTTTTCTCTCTTTGCATACATTTTTTTTATAATCTTCCTAAAATCCAGTTCTATCTTGAAATAGCAATATATACTAGGATTGTGGATATCGAGTTAAATCTGAAATATTCATATCTTATCAACATCTATATTGCTAGATGTATCTATATATCTTTCTTTACATATATTTACAAGTGTGGAATTAAATAGTATATAAGCATTGCTGAAGTTAACTGTATATAGAATTTAGATTTCGCTTATTAAAGCTTACTGTTGATTTCATTTTGAGATTGAAAGGCAAAGTAAAAAAAATACATTATATGAAGCATTATTATATCATAAAACTATATGTGTAAGAGAATTTTTGGTATTTTTATCAATAAATATAATTTGTGTGTAAATATATTTATAAATATATTTATAAAAAATTCCTAATTTTTTTGTAAAATAATGATATTAACTTATTCATGTAATTAAATACTACAAACGTAAGCAATAATTTAAATGGTATACGCAAAATTAAAGTGCCTTCTTACATTTACAGTTCCAATTACATAAAGAAATGCTTAAAAATAAAACTCAAAATTCAATTAATTTGTTATATAAACAAAATAGACAAAAATGCATATTTGTATGTGCCTTTTAAAAGGCATAATGTATATAATAAACACGTAAAAGCGTATTATATGTAAAAATCTCATGTAGTTTAATTGGAGCTGTCCCAAAATTTTTTAATTAATATCTTTTTTGTATCGCTATTAACAATTAACAATCGAAAGTTACTCTTTTTCACTTTTGCACAATATTCTGTTATACATTTTATTATATACACAAATTTTGGACATGCATGTCTAGCTACTAGCTTTAATTATATTTATATTTTAACTGTATACAATGTAAAAAGAAATTATATTTCAAATTTATTCTTTTAATTTTGAAGAAACAAAAATATCATTTATCTAATAGACATTGTCTATAGACTTACAACAAATTATATTTTCTATAAAAGGAACTAAATAAGAGAAAATAAAAATTTTGATACAATAAAATGACGCCTTTGTCATTCGTTGTCACCATAGGTACAACGTATCCAGAAGAAAATTTCTTTGTATCTTATTATAAAATTTTCCCCTACAATAAACTTTTACTACGGAATTATAAACACTTCGCTCGATGATTCTATTTTCGCTATTTCAACATCTTAATACTTTCATAAAAATTTTTAAACGTTCACAAGAAAACCACTTCCAACAGTATCGAAATATTATATGCAGTTTCATGACGAAGCGGAATATCACTCATCGTTGTAGTAACATCTAACACACGAAGAACTATCGAAAAGAAATCAGTCACAGACAGCGACTAACAATGAATAAAGTTCTTTTCTTAATCTAGATCCAGCTGTCTCGTGCTGAGCGTTCCCATGTGTAGTTTCGACGTTCTCATCTTTCTGAATGATTTGAGTAAATCCTCCATCGTGATGGGACGCACAG